ACTATTTGCTGTTGTGAATTGAAATACTGTAGGCTTTTCCAGCAGTAGTAATAGTGCCTATTCGTGCACAAGGTAACATCCTGCAGAGAAAATAAAGTCCCTCAGTTTGGAATTCCTTACTGTAAGGCCATAGTTTAACAAGAAGCTCAGGGTAAAGGGGGGGCAAATTGACTGGGAAACCCATGGTAAATAATTAAGATAGTACAAAGACAAGGATACTACATGAGGGGGCACACTGATCATAAATTGGATAGGTATGATTAACTTTGAGTTATACTGTAACAGATAAATATTCCCTAGCATTATATTATTGCTTCTATAAAATACATAGATGCTATCTCAACTATACATCTGTTAAGATTTCTTTGTAGATGAAGCAGAGAGGGAGTACAAACTAGTGAGATTTTACTTTAGAACGTGAACTGGCTGTAGGAAAGACAGACAATCGCTGAAGAAAATTTGCCAGCCAAAGCTCTAAATCAATAACTGAAATGAGATTAGACAAAATGGAGGAAGAAAACTTGGTGCAGAGACTTTCAGAGCCTCCAATTTCCTATCACATGACACAAATATAGTGAAATGGGATTTATAATAAAGGGTCAGAATTATTTTAATATCTTCAAAACTTCTGATTAAAAAGTGGGAGAAAAATGTGAATGCTACAGGATAGTAGAACTAAAGCAGTCCTGGTTACTAGATGAACACTGAAAACTTTTCATACGAAAATGTAAGTTAAAGAAGAGAACGTCTAGTTGTTCCAAAGACATTGGAAATAGTGGAACTGTAAAGCTATTCATTATTTTCAGCACAAATTATGTGGAAGAAGATGCTACTAGTAGTGTTATTTATTTCCTGATTCTTTTGAAAGCAACAGTGGATAAGAATTGGCAACCAGTTGTTCTCAGATCTGATTTTTGAGTCCTGGAAAGGGTTAATGGGCTGAAGACAGAGGGCAGTTGATTTGCAGGTAAGAAATTCAAGTTATTCTCCCTATACCGAAAAAAAACCCCAAAACAACCAGCTAAAATCACTAAAAATAACAGTAACAAAACATGAACAAAACTCCCACACCAAAACAAAACCCCCAAACAAACAAAAAACAAGCAAACCAAAAAGCTACAACATGGAGATCTATATGCATGTTTTCAAGGGTAAAAGTACCTAAAATTTTATCCTAAAGGAAGTTTTCTTCTAAATGAAATTTCTTCAACATATTTGGAAACCATTTTTGTACTTAATGCAGTGGGACTTCATATGAAAGTACTTGAGAATCATGTAAGACCAAAGTGTTTGCCCAAGTGGTATTTACAGTGACAGTATTATCATTAGAGTTTTTTCTTACTGTCTTTTTCCTGTAGCAATGGTGCTACCAGCAGCACCAAAGGTGTTGATTGTTACCATTACTGATCATACCTGTTTTTCCTCTCTGTGTTGACACCTGTGCAGTTTGAAATATCTTATGCAGTTCTGGTAATATAACAGTTCCCACTGGGAAACCCTTACACCCTGAGGCTACATGATGTTCCTAAGCAGAGCTACAACTTGCAGATAACAGCTAAAATTCTTTAAATTAATTTACTAGCTTTTAGTAATGTCCTAAGGTCTAGGGAACTATGGACCAGTCAGTCTCACCTCTGTGACAGGCAAGATTCTGGAAAAGATTGTCCTGGGAACTATGCAGACACACATGAAAAACAAAGAGGTGATTGGTAACTGACAACACGACTTAACTAAGGGCAAATCATGCCTGACAAATTAGGTAACCTTCTGTGACAGGGCTCCAGCATTTGTAGACAGGGGCAGAGCAACTGACATCCTCCACCTGCCTTTGATAGATGGACCACTCAGCTGGTAAAGAACTGGCTGTATGGCCATGTAAAGAGTTGTGGTCAGTGGCTCATTTTCCACGTGGAGACCAGGGACAAGTGGTGTCCCTCAGGGGTCTGTACTGGGGCTGACCTGTTCAACATCTTTGTCAGGGAAATGGTCAGTGGGATTTAGGGCACCTTCAGCAAGTTCACTGATGACACCAAGCTGTGTGATACAGTCACACACAGGAGAGAAGGGATGCCATCCAGAGGGACCTCGACAAGCTTGAGAGGTAGGCCCGTGCATACCTCATGAAGTTCCATGAGAAAGCAAATTGCAAGCTCCTACACCTGAGTCAGGGCAATCCCAGGCACAACAACAGGTTGGAGGGAGAACTGATTGAGAGGAGCCCTGCAGAGAAGGACTTGGAGGTGATGGCAGATGTAAAATTCAACACAAGTTGACAATATGCGCTCACAGCCCAGAAAGCCACTGAAATCCTGGGCGGCATCAAAACGAGTGAGGTCAAGGGAGGTGATTTCTTCCCCTCTGTTCTTGTATTACACCCCACATGCAATAATGTGTATAGTTCTGGTGTCCCCAGCGTAAGAAGGACATGGAATTGTTGGAGTGAGTCCAGAAGAGAGACACAAGGTCAATAGGAGGACTGGAGCATCTCCCCTATGAAGACAGGCTGCAAAAGCTGGGGCTGTTCAGCCTGGAGAAGAGAAGGTTGCAAAGAGACCTCATGACAACATTCTAGTATCTGAAGGGGGCCTGCAGGAAAGCCTGCAGAACTGTACTGACAGGACAAGTAGTAATGGGTGCAAATGGAAAGATTAGGGCTAGATGTTAGGAGAAATTTTTTACTGTGAGGGTGGCAAGATACTGGAAAAGGTTGCCCAGGGAGGTTGTGGATGCCCCAACCCTGGCAGTGTTTAAAGCCAGATTGGACAAGGCTTGAGCAGCCTGGTCTAATGGCAGGTGGCCCTGCCCATAGCAGGGGGGCTGGGGCCACATGATCTTTAAGGTCTCTTCCAACCCTTAATATTCTATGATTCTACAGTTCTATGATTCTATGATTCTATAATCTCATTTCTAACAAGAAATCTTACATTTTGCTCCTTGGTTAATTTGTCATAACTCTCTGGCTTCACTCACGTATGATTTAGGCAAATATTTAAAGAATACATCTTCCAAAGTTGTTTAGCACTGGCTTATTTAGAGTGGTGTCTAAATTGCTCAAACAGTGAAAACACAATATGCTCTAGAATATAAACTGTCTTAGACTTGTCAGCAAATAAGGTAGAAAAGCTAACTCAGTCCTAGCATTTCTGTAGTCCATCAATAGTGATGGCATCCTGTTCATTTTGCAAGGAGAACTGTGGTTTTGTAAAGCAAAAGCCTTCCCCCTCTCCCTCCCCACCCAGCAGCCTGTCTGGAAATGAACCAAAGAGTAAAATAAAATTATAACTTATTGCTACTACAGTCCAGAACTCAACTTCACTATCAGGGAGGAGAGCAGGATAGAGCAATCTTTCTCAATCCCTTTCTCCATCTTATAGGATGCTGAAATGTGTTCAAGAGCCTAAAGTTTTCATCCTCATGATCTTGACCAAACCAAGACAGAAAACACATTCCCGGTATCAATATAAATAGTATTTCAAACATGTGAAATTTATTCCCCACCTTTTCCTTTCCCACTTCTCTCCTATTGTTTACTAAGAGCCTTACTCCAGCACCGCCGTGTTCTCTGCAGCACTGCTGTGAGTTTCTGACCAGAAAGACATAAAACAAACCTTTTCAGAAGCCTGATATTGAAAAGGGCTTTACACACCTTTGAGTAGCTCACTTTGCATATTGTGCTAGGCTTTCTTCAGCAGTGTTGCTGCCAGTGGGATACTGAAAGACAAGCCTTAGTTCTGTTTGCTGTCAAGGTTTAAGATATTATCACCCCCCATTGCTCAGCCTGTGGTAACTAGAGGTTCCTTCCCACACAGCAGGGATAGCTGAAGAAATGTATATATGTATCTTAGACTGTCCTCTGAGCTTAAACTGATAATAAAAATGGGTCAGAGCTGGAACATCCGACTGTGATTTGGTGAGGAGGTAAGATGCGAGTTCACATTTCCTTCTGCCTCAAGCAGAAGAACAGGGAAGACAACCAAGGAGGAAAACACCTTTGATTTCCACAGCAAATGGTACAGCTAATCTGAGATAGTCAGCTAATAAGGGCACCTTTTCTTTTTTATTTATGGTTCATTTTCTTGGTCTGTTTGCAGAGATCCAGTCCACCACAGTCAACTTCTTTTTTCAACAAAAACCTTGTTGTGGGAGAAGTCCAGTCCCTGACACAGTTTTGTGTCTGGGGAAGGAACGGACCAGCTCGGGGTTTGTGACAAGTCTGCAGGTGTTGGTAAAACGCAGTTGTCACTGGCTAAATCCAAGCCCACACACCCTGAGCCCCAGAGGAATGAAACACAGAGATGATGTGAACTCAGCAACGGCCAAGGCTGATCTAACTTTATTAACAAAATGGCAGGTTTTTCTAGCGTAGGGAGGAACATGATTGGTTGGTACCTCACGGTACACCAGCCAATGGGATACTGTTGTTATGCCTGTCAGGCAATGTCCATAAGAAACTCAAAGAAACATAAAATGGAGCCTTTAACCTAATATTAGGTTTACACCTCAAGTAAAATAACAAAAAGTCTCTTAGGTAGTTGGCTGAGATGTGGCAGGCACTGCTCCTTTGCTGATAAAACGATCCCTCCATTCAGTAAATGTTGTTTCTTCTTCAAGCTCATCTCCAACAAGTCCCCTCTCATGCAGTCAGGTTCTTCTGACATAACCCTTCTTGGAGGGTGTGTGTGAAGATTCCTCCCTTGGCTGGAGATGCCTTCCAAGGATACTCCTCAAGGCTGAGTGAAAGAGATCTCCCCAGGAGCATTGATATGGGAAAGTTGGGTGCTGAGAATTGTGCTGTGACTTCCACGTGACACCACTGCAGTGTGGAGCTGCTCCTCTGGAGTACCAAGCTTTGCAAGAGTCCTTTAAAGCAACTGAGTTTGTCAGTCATTCATCAGATGGCCAAACAGAATAAGCTCAGCTCATGTAAATAAAATGTGTCTAGGTACTGGAGATGGATTGCTCCTTGGCTAACTTTGGATATCTTCAGTGTTGATGTCTACATGCAGAGTGGTGATGGAACTGAGTTGACAGCCAAACCAAAGAGAAGCTTCTATGCAGCAAGAGATTTATACAAGTACATACACCAGTACCCAAATTTTAAAGATCTTCGATATCAAAATGACTTGTGCAATCTCCGGTTTTACAAAAACAAAATCCCATTTAAACCTGATGGAATTTATATTGAAGAAGTCCTAAATAAATAGAAAGGAGACTATGAAAAACTGGAACATAACCACACTTACATACAGTGGCTTATTCCACTGAGGAAACAAGGTCTGAACTTTTATGCTAAAAAATTAACTACATATGAAATTGAGGAATTCAAGAAAACAAAAGAAGCAATTAGAAGATTCCTTTTGACTTACAAAATGATGTTGGAGTTTTTTGGAATAAAACTAATTGATAAAACTGGAAATGTAGCACGAGCTGCTAAATGGCAAGAAAGATTTCAGCATTTGAATGTCTCAACATAATTACTTGAGAATCACTCAAATTCTGAAAAGTCTTGGCGAACTTGGATATGAGAGTTTCAAATCTCCCCCGGTAAAATTTATCCTGCATAAAGCTCTGGTGGAAGATACCGTAAAGCAAAGTGCTCTAGAATATTTTGTGTATACTATTAGAGACCGAAGAGAAAGAAGGAAACTGCTGAGATTTGCCCAGTAACATTATACACCCTCAGAGCATTTTATCTTGGGGACTCCAAGAAAACAGAAGTCAGAGGGAAGCAAAACAAATAAAAAGCCAGCGTCGCCAATTTCTATTCCCAATAGTCATATTTCTAAACATAAGAAACCCAAAGAGCCTAAGAATACATCAGCAAGTGGAAGCTCAGCTGGTAAAACAACTGAAGAAAAAAGGTAGAACTCTCAAAAAATGGGGAAGAAAGGATGAACAAGAAATGAACTGTGATGTTGTTAGGCAGAACAGTGAAAAGAACAGTGACACTGATACCAGTCAGCTTTCAAAATCAGAAGAAATTCATGATACTTCAGACAGAAAGGAGGACGCTTCTCATTCCAAAAAAGATAATGAAAATCTGAACAATGATTTCGCAACATGAGGCTTCTCCGTGCTGACTCCAGGAGTTCTCCTGGGCGGCATCTGTTTCTTCTCTACGACTGATGCTTCCATTGCATGTATTCCACGTTGTCTCTCACACCTTGTTATTCTTATTTTAATATTGTATAAAACCCTGTAAAATTATTGGTTTACTTTTTCATATTAAAATTATTCCCACAAAAAATGAGTCATAGTGACTTAAAAATCCAGGTAGTCTAGAATGAAGTAAATGAATAACAGAGAGGCATTGCAGCTTGTAACATAGCTTTTTGTAGCCAGGAATATATGCTTTATTCAGAAAAATTATTCCCAGCCACGTATTCCCTTATTTCTTATTAGGAGGCAAAGGGAAGCTTTCCATGACAAAAGGGCTTCTCTCTTCTCTGAAAAATTTTCTCATTTGCAACTGCTATTCAAAAGGTGCTTGTTTGGCCCTTTGAGGGAATATGTTTAAAGGCACACTCCTTCAGAAGTGTGTGCAGCTTGTTACCTTACCTGAATGTTAGCCTACAGAGAGCATAGTCAGGCATCACAGAGCAGCATCCTGCCAGCCTGGCCTGCGTAAACTCTTGAAAATATTTTTGGCAGTATCCTGCCATTTGAGTACAATACTAACTTTCAACTAACCTGTAGAAACAGATAATTAGGACATCCTACAGTATAATATTCTAACAGGAAATCAAGGTAAGTTGTGAAGCAGAGGGTGTGCTTAATCTTCCTCCCACAAATAATCAGTTTTTTTCATTCCAAAAGAGGACATTATACCTTCTGTATTACATTTAAGATGCATTGATAGGTGGAAAGTTGGTGATCGTTTAGCTGATTGGCGATCTCCTTGCATAAATTTCATTACAATCCCTTGCATTGTATATTATATGTAAATTTACTGTCTTGGCCCAAGATTGGTAGTCCAGAAATAGAAAAGCAAGCAAGTGACATTTGTTCATTTCAAAATTCTTTTATGATCATGATAATACATATGGGTCAGACAGTCATAAAACCAAAGATAGGCCAAGCATCACAGTAATTAGGAACCCACTGAAAGAACCTTATGTTTGAACATAAAGGACCACAACTTTGCCTGAGCAAATGTAAGTAGAAATATTTTTTATTGTCTTTCAGATCTGAAAAGTATGTCCTGAAACCTTTAACACCAACTAATTTACAATGAGGGACTAAAATGTCTCTTCCTCCTGGCCAGTTTACCCTTCATTCCCTCCCTATCCTGAGCCTATGGAGCACACTTTGGAAAATTTGGGGCTCTGTGGTATCATTCTGAAGTGGTTTTGCTCGGTCAAGAGAAAGGAACTGGATGCCCACAGTGACCATTCACATAGAGCACAGCAAATGTGACTTAGAGCAAAATAACTCCAAGCCCTCATCTGTCATATCCTGTCTCAACAGGACAGTGCTATGGGACATGGCACATCCTCACATGGGTGAGGCTCTACAAGGGATTTAACAGCAGTACGTTCTAGCACATTCGTATAATTTTACATATGTATGTTTGGCTTCTTCTGGTCTCCAAGATAACAGCCTGCAAAAGAAAATATTGACTTAAGGTAAAATGTTTATTTACTGGGGAACATATTGGCTTCAGTAGACATAAGCTTAAATTATTGTCCAGCTTCACTGTAAGTGTCCTGTAGAATTACAGGGTCTCTTTTTTTTTTATTATTAAAATGTTTGGGTTGATGCTTTTTGCATAGAAAAAAAAGTAGATAATGAACATAAATAAAATAATCTGCTGGACATGATAATTACTTTATATGACTTTCTCTGACTTATTTTTGGTTTTATTATTGGTGCATATTGAACTGCCCTTTTGATGTGATTGTGGTCTTCCATTAGTTTCACATCTTCAGATTCAGGGATATTATTATTCTACTGGAAGCAACAAGACTATAATCAGGTTTTCCATCTTTCTGTAGAGTACAATTGTCATAAAGGCTTTGTTTTCTTTGTAGCTCATAATTTCCTTTCTTGGTCAATATGCACTGTGAGTGGTGCCTTTAGGCTCTTTTATACTTGATTGGTCTCTGTTGATTACCTTACATTTACATGGTGTATTCTATTAAAATATGTAATAAAATTAGGCAAAACCAACAGAAAGGTGCATTGTAGCCCCTGCCAACATAGCTATAGTTGATGTTTTTGGAAGTTAAATGTAAAATCACTGCTGGACTTTTAAGTCCCTTCTAAGTGAAATAACAAGTGTTAAAACTGCTTGCAATAAAGAAGAAAAGATTCCAAACATCAGTAAGCAGAAAGAAATTTTAATAATCTACTATCTTTTCAAGAAAATTACAAGAATTGTGGAAGCTGACCTAGTAAATCACACAAAACTAGCAAATAAGTTAAAGCATTTGGAGAGACATAGAAGTATTTAGTACATGGATTTAAATTTCTTTGGCTGCTGAGGAAAACATGCTATACATTATACCTATAAACATTTCTATTATAGAGCTGAATTGAGAGCTGTAATCTTATTCTTGGATAATCTGCTCTTTTACACTGTTGCTGTGATAGATTTTTCCCTTTAGAACTAGTTTAGTGAAAAAGTTTTTAAAAACCTTTGTCGTGGAAGGAATGCTTAAGTTTTAGATTACATTGTCAGTGGTTCCTGTTTATTCTTTTAATTGCGCCTCTAGATTGTTTATAAGGAAAACCACATTACTTTTCCTTCTCGGTTCACTTTGCTGAGAGATGTAACTCTTGGACCATTCAATTCTAAAACACAGAGGCTTTAGAGTCACTTTCTCTCGTACATAAAGATTAAAGTAACCAATCCCTCTGAGCAGTTTTTAGCATGCAAGTGACATTTACTGTAAATTAAGCTTGCAAAAACCTATTAAATTACTTGGCACTCTGTGTCTTTTGGTGCACTTTTCCTATTTCTCATTATTTTTTGAAAATATTTTCAAACAAAATCCATTGGGATTTTTTTGTGTTTAGCTGTCTGAAAATCAAGACTGTATATTTATTTCTGCTGGCACTTTTTCCATTGTCCTACACAGACAGTGCCCTGAACCTCAGAGAAATTAATTTTGATACAGTATTTGAGATTTTCAAAAAACATTCTTGGTCCAGGGAGGGCTTTAAATAAATCAGTTACAGAAACTGAGAGAAAGAGTTGCTAAACACAGGTGTTTTTATTCCAGGTGTATAAAAGTCATCCTCTTCCTTTTTTTTCCTGAGGAATGGCTCACAGATAAAACAGGAAATAATCAGTTTGCAGACTTGTTTTTCAACTTCATGGAGACAGACAAGTCTGCAGGCATTATGAAGCAAGCATGAAGGGCCATATGTCAGGGTTCCCATCTTGTTGGGAGTAGGCAGAATAAGAACACCTATGAAATGTGGAAAGCAAGCATTGTGGAACAGGGAGATCCTGAAACAGCAGAGACATCCTTTGCAGAGTGGAAGGTATGTGCGGTGAAAGGTGCTGGCAAGGAAGGGACACCGACTGTTATAAGTTAAGCAATAAAAACCGGGCTGCAAAGCTGCAATAAAGAAATAGTTTATTATAAAAGCAATAAAACAAGCAAAAAAGGAACAGTGCACCGGGCTGTTTTTGCACTGTGGCAAAAACCAGCAGCTACTACAAGTTTTGGGTCCCCTTTTTATGTCCCTTTGGCTCCGTATTTCGCAATCCGAAGTCTGGTC